TGAGGATGATGATGGGCTGCGGTTTGGCTCCACTGGTCTGGTGTAGAAGAGGATCTCTGAAGGCTGTTTGTAACTGTGGTCACAAAATTCAAAGTTCTAGTAGAATGGGAAGCAGCTCCATTTTTTGGGGCCCCTTAAACAGCTCAAGGTCTGGGTCCCAGGGCCTGACGGTGAGTATGCCCATAAGGCCCACCTAAAAGTCCACCTAGATGTTCCACCCATGAGTTCGCTCACAGGGAGTGGAGTGTGTAGGGGATGTGTTATTGTAGAGGATCTAATGTGTGTACTTATGGTATGTAGTGTATAGGGATACCAGTTTGTGTAGGTGATGCAGTGTATTTGTAGTGGAGGCAGTGTGTGTTTGTGTATAAGTGATGTATTGTGTGAATCTGTGTTTGTATGCATAAGGGATGCAAGGTGTGTGTCTGTAGTGTGTGCATTGAGTGTGTGTATGAAATGCATTGTGTTTCTGTGTATATGTAAGAGAAGCAGTGTGTGTGTTTGCATATGTGTGTAAGGGTTTGCATTGTGTGTTTCTGTGTATGTGTGCAAATGATGCATTGTCTTTGTGTGTAATGGGTGCACTGTGTGTTTCTCTGTGTGTGTAGGGATGCATTGTGTGTTTGTGTATGTATAGGGATGCATTGTGTGTTTGTGTATGTATAGGGATGCATTGTGTGTGTGCGCGTAGTGTGAAAGAGCTCCCTGTCCTGCCCCCTGTCCTATAGAGCTCTCCTCTGCCCCTTAGTGGTCTCTCCCCCCCCCTTCCCTAGCAGTCACTTCTCACACCCACCCACCCTCCCTGTGCTCTTCTCATCCCCCCACCCCCCCAAACCTCCGGTATTCTTTTCAGCCCCCTCCCTCCCTGTGTTCTTCTCACCCCCCCATGTGTTCTCCTCACCTCCCCCCATGTGTTCTACTCACTCCCTCCACCCTCCCTGTGTTCTTCTCACTCCCCCACCCTCCCTGTGTTCTTCTCACTCCCCCACCCTCCCTGTGTTCTTCTCACTCCCCCACCCTCCCTGTGTTCTCCTCACCAGCCCCTCCCTGTGTTCTCCTCATCTCCCCCACCCTCCCTGTGTTCTCCTCACACCTCCCCCCCTGGGTCTCTCCTCACCTCCCCCTCCTGTATCTCTCCTCCTGCCTCCCCTCCCCTGTGATCTCCTCACCTCCCCTCCTGTGATCTCCTCACCTCCCTTCTCTCCCCTCCTCCTGTGATCTCCTCACCTCCCCTTCTCTCCCCTCCTCCGTGTCCTTCTTACTCTTCCCCCTCCTCTCTGTGTTCTTCTTACTCCCCCTGTTCTTCTTAACCCCCGTTCGTCTTAATTCCCCCAATCCCCCTGTTATTCTTAATCTCCCCACCCCCCTGTTCGTCTTAATCCCTGCATCTCTCCCCCTTCTTCTAATCCCTCCCCCTTCTTCTTAATCCCCCCACCCCTCCCCTCCTTCTTAATTTCTCCCCCTCCCCCCTTCCTTCTTAATTTCCCCCTCCCCCTTCTTAATTTCCCTCCCCTTCCTTCTTAATTCCCCTCACCCCTTCCTTCTTAATTCCCCCTCACCCTTCTTCTTAATTTCCCCCTCCCCTTCTTCTTAATTTCCCCCTCCCCCCTTACCTCTCCTCCCCTCCCCTGTAGCGTGGCCGAGCTGCTCTTCTGTCCGCGGTGCCGGCCGGACTGACAGGAAGGAGTGTGCACTTTCTTTCAGTCCGGCCAGTGACAGGAAACAAAAACTCTTGTTCCGCGCGGAGTTTCTGTTTCCTGTAACCGGCCGGACTGACAGGAAGTGCACACTGAGTGTGCACCTTCCTATCAGTCCGGCCGGGCACCGCGGACAGCAGAGGAGCTCGGCCAGCTACAGGGGAGGGGAGAATATGTGTTGCAGCCGCCTGAGGCTCTTAACAGAGCGCTCAGGCGGCTGCAGCATTTAAAGGGCCGGCCCTGCAGCGGCCGGTCCTGACAGAATTTAGGGCGGCCTGGGGGGCAATTGCCTCCCTGCCCCCCGGCCCAGCCCGCCCCTGGTAGAAGGCAACCTGTGGTGTAGGTATTTCTTTTTTGTTGGCTGGTATCTTGTTGCACTCTACAAGTGTAGGTAAGGGTAATTGTAAGTTATCTCCTAGGGAAGACACAATAAGTCCATGGGCCCTTCTTCCAAAGGCCTCTGTAGTGCCACTACAAGTGCTTAGGGTGTAAGGGTGAACCTCTCTTATGCAAAATAGATCAAACAGTTCTGATTGGGCAAGTGATCGATTGCTTTGATCATCTAAGATAGCATACACCTTTAAAGTCTTTTCTGGCTGATCCTTGTGGTGAATGTTCACTAGGCATATTTTAGCACAAGACTTGTCACAGTGGTCTTCCCCACAGACTTCAGTGCATGAGGAAAATATCATGGTGGAATTAGGCACCTGATTTGTACTCTTCCCGTCGTGATTTGGCCTGGGAGAAAGGTTTGCAGATTGTGAAGGGTTGGTTTCGAGTGCATGGAGAGCTTGTACATGGTCCTCGGAACCGCACTCTATGCACTTGATAGGGATTTTACATTCCTTGGCAAAGTGATCAGTGGAAGCACAGCACCTATAACATACCCCAAAGGTCTTTAGGAGTTCCTTTCGTTCTTGTAGGGGCTTCTTCCTAAAGCCGATACATTTTTTGAGGGGATGTGGCTTCTTGTGGATAGGACATGATTGGTTTGGGTTTTCGATCTTGCCGCTCTTGTTTGAGGCAGGAGCTGAGGTGGGAATGGGAATAATGTCTGTCTTCTTAACAGACACTGAACCTCTACGGTTCCTGTAGCTGATATGTAGGTTGTCACCTTTCAGTGAGGGAGAACTGAACTCACCAAATGCAAAACTAGGATCGTTCTTGGTGTCAGCAATGTTCCTGACAAATTCGCAGAAGTAGGAGAAAGGGGGAAATTAAACCTTGTTTTCCCGTTTGTATTTTGACCCAATTTGGATCCACTTTTCTCGTAGGCCATACGGAAGCTTGTAAATGACAGGGTTAACTCCTTGAGCAGTGTCCAGGTAACTGAGGCCCGGTAGTTTAGGGTCGGTTTTGGCAAGCTGGACTTCGAGAATAAGGTCACTGAGTCTCTGTAATTCTTTATTGTCCTTACCGGATATCGTTGGGAAATTTTCCAATCATTTGAGCAATGCATTCTCTATGGCTTCAGGACTACCATAACTCTGTTCTAGACGTTCCCATGCAGCGGTGAGACCTGCAGTTGGATTGTTGATGTAGACTGACCTGAGGCTCTTGACACGTTCTGTAGATTGTGGGCCAAGCCACCTGATCAGCAGATCCAGCTCCTCAGCGGCAGTAATACCAAGATCACCTATAGTAGTTTTGAAGGCAGGTTTCCAGCTTCTGTAATTTTCAGGATGGTCATCGAAGCTTTCACTAGCATTTTCCTCTGCACCAATAGCTTGTTCCAAAATCTTTAGCTTTGCTGCAGCTGCCTTGTAGTTGCTCTGTTCCTTTAAAGCTTCAATTGCTGCCCTTTGATGTACTGTCTGAGCTTCCATTGCTGCTGCTTCAGCTTGCATTGCTGCAGCCTCAGCCTCGATGTCTGCTCTCTTTTTTGCATATGCAGCCTGTACTTTTCTAGCCTCTGCTTCGGCACGGGTATTTACAAGCTGTTCACTAAGCGTTGAGTGCCTTGAACTTCGGGATCTAGAGGAACTTTTAGAATGTCTGGTGGATACGGATCTGTGAGATACAGTGTCATGTGGCTGCGTTAATTTTGCTTCTGCCTTTGCTTTAGCTAGCAGGATAAAGCTTTCTCTTTCCATGTTAAGAAGCTAGACATTGTTAAGTTGCTCTAATGATTCCTCAGTGTTAATGTTTTGCAGAATAGTTTTGTATTTATTGCTTGTAGTCTGGTACAGTTCATATGAAGCAGAGAGATGCTTTATGGTGCCCTCTAGTTGCAGTACCTCATGGTTAGGACATGAAATCACATAAACGTGGGTGAGGATTTTATCCCAAATCTGCTTCAAACTGGTTGATAGTTCAGTTCTCATTGATTCATAGTTCTCTTTAACCTTCCAAGTGGGTTTCACAGAGCGTTTAGCTAATGCACTGGGCTCTGGGTCCTCATCCTGGCTTTCTCCATGTGGTGCATGCTGTGGTGTTTCATCACATACTGAGCCTTTTCCGCTCATGATGGCCTGAAGTACACAGGCTTGGCTGTAGCAGTGAAGTGTGTCTGTATACTGTGTGGGGCTATAACAAACTGTGCTGGGGGTGTATGCAGACGTCTCCTACAATACACACAGTTACCCTTCACTGTGGTCTGTACTGTGACACAGCAATCTCTGTACAAGCTGCTGGATACGTTCTTTTACTATTCTGGAATGGCTGCAAAGGCTATGAATGTGTTTTTCAGGAGCACCTGGCGCTCATTGCCCTGATGAGATTATTCATACCAAATCACCTTCCCAGATAGTTTACTCAGTCACAACTCACATGAAAGAATATCTGGCGATGTTTATTTGTCGTATGATCTGTAGAATGTGCAGTTACAACAGGTAAAAGAACGATTCTCCCATACAGGTTAGGAGAGATATCACAAGTCACATATGAAAGTACAGCATAGAAAACACTAGAACAGGAAAGTGGGAGGGGAGTACCTGAAGCAGAATGCAAACTACAGAGTTGCACAAGAGACAAACTTAAGATGAACGTTAAAGAAACAGTACATTATAATAAAACAATATCATGTAACATGACAGGTCCATTGTCTCTCTTTAATTGAAACACACTACAGAGTAATCAAGAAATAATGGGGGGCGGATCTAGCGGCCATCTTGCTAAGTCGCACTCCCTGAGAGCTCTGGGAGATCAGCTGCATTAATCCCATTTTTAGCAGCACAGAGAGCCTGTACCAGAGCCCGGTCAATACCAACTGACTCCGGACACCATGGGGAAAAAGACATGCAAGTCCCGGCCAGACAGGATAGAGGGATCCCGCGATATCTGGGTTCTGCTCCGCAACCCAAGATGGCGGCCCCGCTGCGAAGATCGCCTTCCTGCTCTTCAGAAGATCTGGAGTATGAAACTCTAGACCCAATCCCAGAAGCCAGGGCCACGTCTGCTAGGACGTATAACAAAGCTCCTAAGGAAGATAAAGACAGTGCCCCAACTACCAAGCGTGACCTGAAACCTCCTCCTGAATGAGGTCCGTACAATGTTCCAAGCTGACTGTGCAAATATATGGGAGGATATGCATACCCTCAGCAGTCCCGTAAAGTCCGTAGAGGAAGAAGCTGTGACGGCTCGTCAGGCTCAACATGATACTGCCATAATCACCCAGCAGCTCACACAGCAACATGCCAGGTAGCAGGCCTGGAAGACACCCAGGGGTGTGTGCAGTGACATTGGCACTGCAGATCTGCCTCAGCATAGCCAACGCTTACTCACCTAAGCAGGTGCAATGGATGCTCCTTGAAGGGATATACCGAGTGGGCCATGCCCGTGGTTCCACGACAGCTCCCCTGTGAGACGTGATAGTGACTTTCCGTTCTCTTGCTGACAAACAGGCAGTGCTGTCTGTGATTCGTGAGAGACAATCACTGGACTTTGAAAGCTCAAATCTGTATTTCTATGAAGACCTCCTTTGCTGAGAGGGCAAAGATCCAAATGGAGTAATGCGTAACTGGTATTTAAAGTGCACAACCGGGTGCTACCATATTTATTGGAAAGACAAAATATAAGTTGCAAGTGTTTTGGGCGATTGCCCTTGATCAATGCTAATTGATATCACTGGAGCACCCGGCTTCTTCCAAGCACTCTGTCTGTCCGACCAACCAGCTCCAGCAGTCGCCACCGCCTCATCTCCACAATGGGACATTGACAACGTGGTACCATTCACGCCCAGGAACACCCTAGGCAATGGGTGGAGAGTATCCTGATAGCCCTGTATTAATCCAGAACGTTGAACAGCTCCTGCAGTTACCCATGTTACATCTTGTTCTTTAGCTCAATTTACTTTGCTTTTTTACTTATCCTTTTCTATTTTAGCGTTTTTAAAGGCCTAACCTCCACAGGTGATGATCACTCACCAATGTCTCCCCCCTTAGCAGGCCACGTGTGCCCCTAATACACCCCCTCACCCCCCGACTCCCCAGGGTAATAGATAAAAATAGATAGATAGAGATCCCTATAATGTGAAGCAATGTGAAGCCTACCAGTGTAAACACAAGCTAATTACCAGATCTAGCACGCACTATACTGCCTTGCCTACCTCTGCCTTCCTGAGCAAGTGCTGATCTGGTACGCTCACTTCCTCTCTTGTATTCTTATATAAAAAAATTAGGTGACTATTACTTGATGTACTGCAATTCCTGAACCAAAAAAAAATACAGACAAAAAAATAAAAATAAAACATAAATAAAAGTACCTGATTTTGTATATTTATTTTTCATATACTTGAACTGAAAGACACAATACTCAAGTTTTCCCCCCTGCTTATTTATTTTAAATAGAACATAAATAGCACAATAAATATTAAAACATGTTTGTTTTTTCTTACATGATGTCCCTTTTTAAAGTTGGTAAACGAGGAGTTTAAAAAGCACACAGCAGGGGGCGTGGCATGGAGGCCGGCTAAGATGGCAGCCTAAAGGGACAGCTCCCGCGCATCCACACTTATCGCAGCACCTGCCACCCGCACAGTGACCGCGGCACACATCCCCAATGCCCCTTACCAGCTCGGGAGCCACCCCACGTCGGAAAAAGCGGAGGGAGCCGCAGCACACCCCACACTCAGTGGCCGACATGTTCGCGGCCTCACGATCCCCGCAGGCCACCCAAGATGGCAGCCGGACGGACGCACGAGGCTCACAGTCTCCAACCCCTTACACTGCAGAGGGACAGCCAGACATGCTCAGCAGCAGCTCCGAGCTGATTCTTCACAATTTGGCTGAGGTCAGATCCTATCTGGCAGGAGAAATCATCCGCAGCACACAGGACATCAAGGCTGAGATACAGGCCCTTGGAGCACACACTTCTGATCTGGAACAGCGGGTGGAGGTACTGGTACAAGCCCTCAACTCTGTTGTGCAGCACTCCACCTCATTAGACCAGCATCTTATAGCTCTGGAAATGCAAGTGGAAGATCTCTCCAACCGCACCAGGCGCAATAATCTGCGCATTAGAGGCTTCCCGGAAACCCAGAATGAAGGCCCCCTTATCCCGCTCCTGGAGGCCTACTTCAGTAAGCTGCTTCCAGACATACCAAAAGCCCACTGGGCGATGGACCGGGCACACAGGGCTCTGCGTGCCCGGCAAATGGAGACAGCGGTGCCTAGAGATATCATAGTCTGCTTTCATCACTATACCACTAAAGAAGCGATTCTGAGATACAACAGGCACCACGAGCTTACCTACCAAGGCTAACCCATCTCTCTCTTTCAAGATCTGGCGCCAAGCACGCTGCAGAGGTGGCGAGGGTGGAGACCGCTGACTGATCTGCGCCAACATGAAATCCGTTTCACATGGGGCCACCCGTTCAAGATTGTGGCTTTCAAAGAGGGAAGAACAGTTACCTACGCGCCAGGCAGTGACCCGCGGAAATTCTCGCTATCACTCCCCCACAGGACCTCGTTCTACCGGGCCCAGTTCGACGACCCCTCACGACCCTTCCAAGGGACTGGTACACAGTAACAGCAATGACTGCCCAGGATGGCTAGAGAAGAAAACAGGACTACCCCGCTATCCTCATACTTGATAGAGACCTGGGTGTCCAACGATATCTCTGAAACGGCTAAGGTTATGGGGGGGGGAGGGAGGGAAGGGGGGAGCAGCATTAAGCAAAACCTCAGCACAGGGGTAATCAGAATTCCCATGGTGGTGGTGGGCTGGGTTGCGGGGGGGAAGGGGGCACGGCAAGGCAGCATATTTTACTACCTCCTGAGTTCCAATGGTAGAGTTCCGTGGGGGGGAAGGGGAGGTTAGTGTCCCTTTTTTTTTTTTGGATGGAGCAAGGGGGGGTTTGGATGGAGCAAGGGGGGGGTTCTTGTGGTGGGGGGCGACTTCAACGCAGTTCCAAGTCCAGCATCTGATAGGAGCTCAAAACCAGGCACCTTACGATCACAGGGTAGGGGAGGACAAGATAAATTGCTACACACATTCCTGACACACACCGGCCTACTAGATGTCTGGCGCCTGCAACACCCGACCACCTCCGACTATACATTTTACTCAGCACCACATAACACATACTCCCGAATAGATAATATTTTTCTAAACGGGGCGGGGATGGATAAGGCCCTACACACGGCCATTAATAACATAACATGGTCTGATCACGCAGACATCACACTCACCCTGAGCAAATTGCACTACCGATCCAACTGGACCTGGAAGCTAAACACCAGTCTCCTAAACGATGACAATATCAGGGAATCAACGCGACTGGCCATCACGGAATACTTTGAGCTCAATACGACACCTGACGCTAATCCCACGACAGTCTGGGCGGCACATAAAGCTGTCCTGCGAGGACATTTTATAAAGATAGCCACACATAAAAAGCGAGCTAAAACAAAACTACTACTTGACCTGCAGTCAGCCTTACAGAAGACAGAACAACAACATAAAACCAATCCGACTGACTCCAAACTCAGGGAACTCAACGCCCTTAGGCACACTATCCGGGACCTCTCCTTGGAGGCGGTGACATGCTCCCTACTCTGGTCAAAAAGACTTTTATGAAAAAGCAAATAAAACCGACACACTCCTAGCCAGAGCGCTGCGACCGAGACCGCAGGGTAAACCCATAACGAAAATCCGCACAGCAGCGAACACCTTAGCCATGACACCTGACGCTATTAATGAAGTTTTCACCACATACTTCATAGACCTCTACAATCATTCCCCTCACCTCCGGGCCAGCAGCGCAACCTATATGAATGACATACAACAGTTCCTATCAGAACTGACCATTCACAAAGTAGGTGGGGATGCGGCAGAATCACTACGGACCCCGATAACCCAACTCGAGGTAGAAAAGGCTATAGCGTCACTTAAGGGTAACAGGGCACCAGGGCCGGACGGATATGACATAAGCTATTACAAACAATTTAGGGACGTCCTAGCTCCCCACCTCACGATCCTTAGTAACCACTTTATGCAGGGTGGGGTGCCTGACATGGACATGGCGACAGCGAATGTAGTACTCCTGCCAAAACCGGATAGGAACGACACGCTAGCTCCGAATTACAGACCGATATCACTCATCAATACCGACCTCAAAATCTTTGCTAAAATATTAGCATCCAGACTGACGCCCCTTCTTCCTCGCCTGATCCATCCTGATCAGGTCGGTTTTATACCCGGACGTCAATTATACGAAAATACTAGACGGGGAGTAGACATGTTGTGGTATATGATGGAGTCCAGAGCGCCTTCTCTAGCACTCTCCCTGGATGCAGAGAAGGCATTTGACAGAGTGTTGTGGCCGTACCTGTTCAGGCTGTTCTGCTTCCAGGGATTCCCAGAACCATTTATAACGGCCATACAGGCACTATACACGGACATGAGGGCACAAATACTCATAACAGGGGCGCGCAGAACACTGTTCACCCTGGGTAATGGCACCAGACAGGGGTGTCCACTGTCCCCCTTACTGTTTGCTCTAGCCCTAGAGCCGCTCCTGCAGGCCATCCGGCAGCACCCGCACATTGAGGGAATTGACGTCAAAGGCACAACATTTACAGTGTCCGCATATGCTGACGATGTTCTGCTGACCCTCAGCGATCCTTTAAACTCGCTTCACCACTTAACACTGCTGCTGGAACGATTCGGGAGTCGAGCAGGCTACAAGATAAACTACACCAAATCAGTGGCGATGCCTTTTCATTTAGCAACCCCAGACATGGAGCTCATACGCAGGCAACACCGATTAAAGATAAACACGGAAGAGTTTATGTTCTTGGGGATATGCTTAACAGCAAATCCATCATCCCTTTACGCCCGCAACTATACACCCCTGCTGCAGACCCTCACCAAAGAGCTGGAACAGTGGTCAGACAGGCCTATATCCTGGCTGGGCCGTGTACATTCTATAAAAATGAATGTGCTGCCGAGGATTCTGTTTCTCTTTCAGGCACTCCCGGTGAAAGTATCCCGAGGGGATCTGACGGGCCTACAGCAGGCAATAGACTCCTTCATTTGGC